ATCCATTGGAGAAAGCTGGCGATCATGATGAGGAGCATTCACCTCGGCTTCAGGCTCTGGCCGAGTGCCTGTAGAGTTGTCGTCATTCGGTCGTACAGGGGCCTCTTGTCCGTTTACAGGGGCCTCTGCTTGTTGGTTCGCCCGGTTCTGATTCTCTGCGATCAACTGAACAACTGCCTCCCGTTCCTCCTCGCCAAGATTGACAGCTGGTTGTTGCTGAACGACCCATTCGCGAATCAGGAATACGAGGATGAAAGAAATCACCACCAGCAAAGTAATAAGCTGGCCTTCCAACGTATCAATAACGATATTGTTGAGTGTCGGGGAGGATGTCAGCGAGTTCAGAAAGGAGACATTCGACAGCCATGAAGGTTGCCGCTGACGTGGAGAGATCGTCGTATTAAACTGGCTTGAGTTTGTTGTACCGGAACCCGACGAAACAACAGGGACAAACAGGCTTAGAAAGGCTCGTTTTGCCAACGTGAGCGCCACAGGTTCAGTAGACGAGAAATTGAGCATCGACGAAACCGGAGACAGGACCTGAGGTAGTGCGCTTGCCTCAGCTTGAGCGGCCGTCGATACAGCAGGATGGTTGGAGGCCAATGTATGATTCACTGGAGTTGTCCCATTAGCTGCCAGCTGCATGATCAACGAGTCTGCAGGTACTGCTACAGGCCGCTGAGTACTATCACCACTGGGCCAGCGGCCATCAGCAAGCCAAAAGAGGGCTCGCCAGATGGCTCGCATGGACCATGGCAACCATCCTAACCACACGAAAGCAACAAGCAGGAACCGCAACCACGTAACCAGGGTGCGGACTCCATGAAGAGCAAGTTCCTTTATGAAAACTGGTGCTGGAAGCTCGGCCGGCATATTGGGATCATATAATTTCGTGAATCGGAACGGCGTTTTGCAGAGTTCGCAGTACTTCTTTTGGGAATGCGACAGCCACTCCATCAGGCAGGCCTGATGGACGAATTTGATGCTTCCACTGCATTTGCATGGATAGAACAATTGCTCTTCCTCGGACCCCTCCCCACGACATATTCGGCAGGTATCCGGTTCATCTGAGCCCTTCCCTTTGGCATCTGTATTTGTGGCATAGGCAGGATCATTCATGACATCCGGGAAGGGATCCCCGTGTGGACGGCGCTGATCATCCTCAGCCTCCATGATGACTGTGACAGGAGCAGTCACCCGATCGACTTGTATCTCGAAGCGGTTCAGGAAGGTAACATCTCACTTGCTAGAATGGTGCAGAGCACGTAAGCTAAAGAACACTGTCCATGGGCGACGGCAAACTCTCTGCTTCGTGCGAGTTGCGAGGCCAAGCGGCAGACAACTGTGAAAACAAGGATCCCAACTTCTGTGCAAATTAGATAGACGATGGGTGTCTGCGTGCTGAGACTGAGATAAATCAACTGGAATGCTCTGAAGCAAGAGAAGCAACAGTGGCAAGTCAACCACCGGCGTCAGCTAATTATCTCCATGGGTGTCGGATGACTAAGCAGACCCCCCTCCTGGATCATCAGAGTTTCGGTAATTAATACCGCTTCGAACAAGACGCCTGTGCTTCCAAGGCAGAAATCCCCGCACGCAAAATGACAATACCGTATCAGCCCGGTCTTGACAACACGTCCAGGAAGACGCCACCAAGGAGGAGCTATGATCTCAGCGGACAGATCGCGCTTCCTGAGGGAGCCTAGCAAACAAGGCCTCCTAGATTAAATTCCTAATCCGATGTCCTGATACCTCCGCCGTCTGGGCTTGTACGCAAAGTAGCGGCTATTTCTTACAAGTTCCACTGCTCTTATCCCGTTGTTTACGAAGCGATGCTAAAGCTTGGGTATAATTTCGATTCCTAGTGTCGCCAACACGCGTCTCGTGCTTCGATCCTAGTGCCCTCGGACCTTTCGCGACTCCACCTACGCTGGCAGGGTGCCAGCCAGGATATCTTTAGTCGCTATTTTCATCCTTGATGGACAAATATTCGACATTTGCGCCCTTCATCTTTCATCGAACTAGCTCAGATTTCCATCTCTGTGGTAGTCTGCGCGGAGGCGACACAAAACTCCTGATCCTCTGAAGACCGCCATACGGGTGCCTCAGCTGCGCCCAGAACTCGATGATGGCGGTCGTAGAGAATGGAAAGGTGCAAGAGCCTTCGCAAGACAGGCTCAAAACACAAACAGAGCGCAGAAAGAGAGATAAACCACGGCGGAGTTACCTACGGTTGTCTCTGGCGCTCATTGCCAGGTACGAGTGTCCTATCGTTGCTGTCATGACGCGTATACTCTGAAAGTTATGCTAACTGTTTGGTTGTCCTCAAGATTATGTATCTGGTACGTGGTCCTGACGCCGTTCTTCCACTGCCCATCGAATCTTTCCGACCTCGAGGAGTCTTCGCCGCGCGTCTGCAAACCGTACCTAATTGCCCGGTCGCATCTTGAGCCTCATATCGACCCTTACTACCAAAAATATGCTGCGCCTTACGTGGAACTGATGCGACCCTATGCCCATACTTTTAATGAACGGATCTACACTCCAGCGTACAAAATCGCCAAACATGGCTATGACACGTATGGAGCCCCTGCTTTGGAGCAGGCTGGCAAATACAGTCACCAACAATGGGAAGCAGTCATTGTGCCGCAGTTGTACTCAGCACAAGCCAAGGTGAATGATATTTATAAAGCCCGTGTTGATCCATACGTCCAACAAGCCCTTGTTTTTGTGTCCCCGTATTCAGACACTGTGCGCAGCAAGATGGCAGCGGTTAAGGATAAGTACCTTTTACCTCTTTATGTTCAGTCTAAGCCTTTCATTGGTAAGACATACTCTTCCGGGCAGGACGTTTCTGGCACTGTGGTTCCATTGGCAAAAAAGACGTGGTCGTCACTCCTAGTCTTTGTGAAGGGCACCGTCTGGCCCAGCATTACCGGTCTTTACTCTGAAAATGTTGAACCTCAGCTGGTCAAGATTGGCGAAAAGCTGGCAACTTATCGCGAGGGCAAGAAGCACAGAGCAGTTATGGATGAGGTTGAAAGGTAAGCTATTGACAGCCTGTTAGGATTCCATTCATCCGCTGACGTATCATCAGTTCAATCGAAGAATCTGCCACATCCACTCCTACTGCATTGTCAGACAGCGTCTTTAGTTCTCAAACGACAAGGTCCAGTTCCACTAGTGATGCCGCTGAGACAAAGACTTCTTTGACATCAGAGCAGAAGTTTGCACAAGCGCGTGAGCAAATTGCGTCCGATTTGCGTGTATGGCAAGAGAAATTCGCTGCTGCTGCCGACAAAGGAGTCGAGGATCTCGGGGAACGAATTCAAGAAATTGTCTCTAGTCAGGTGGACAGTGGCGCTAAGATGCATGGAGAATCTTTACTGGAGGTTTTGGAGACAGTCGTGGATCACGAATTCTCTAATCTCAAAACGCAAATCAACGCCCTAGTCGACTCTCTCCCGGCTGATGACTCGCCACAAGAAGAAGAGAATGCGATCGACAACTTGCTGAAAGCCGTCAGATCGGCCGGGTTGGCAATCAGGGATAGGGCCCATGCCGTTAGAGAATGGCACAAGACTTTTGAAGACGAGCTCATTCGCAGAGTATCAGCTGCATCTGAGTCTACACTCGACGTGCTAGACAGTATCCGGGATCTCGGTCTGCAGGAAATTGGTATGCGGTGGGCGTGGATGGATGGTGTTACCTACAAGGACTGGGAAAAGTACCACGCGGTCAGAAAGCAGTTTGATGATTGGCGGAGTGAAGTCCACGACTTTGGATTAAATCACGAAAAGGTCGAAGAAGCCAAAGCCATCGCAAACGATATCTTATCTCGTGGGATGGCAATTGCCGAAGATGCAGCTAAAGAACTAACCAGACTCAGAGAAGTTGGAAAGTGGAAGATCGAAGCTCGCGAGGTCAGCGACAATTTTGACACCAGGACCGAGCCTCCCCCTCCGCGCGTGAAACCCGCTGTGGAGGCCGTGGATGAGGATGCCAGTCAACTTGATGAAGAGTCGCAGTCAGCCATTCTACGAGATGGTGAACCCTCAGAAGCCACTGATGCTGACATTTCTTCGTCTATTCCCGGCTCAGAGACACAGGATGTTAGCTCCAACGACAATGAGATCTCGCAAACGCAGGCACCACCGGAGGAACTCATCTCAGCTAGTAAAGAGGTACTAACTGATCAAGATTCGATTTCTGCCGCCTCTCCGACGTCCCTGTCAGAAACAGATATGGCATCATCCACAACCCAAGAGACTTCTGCTGAGTCACAGTCTCCCAGTAGTAATATCTGGGGAGGAGCGGCGGCCCAGGTTTTGACGGAGCAGCAACCAATCCTCGAGGTCGTGGATTATGACGAAGAGAAGAAATTTACTGAACAGATGCAGCATCTTGCTACTGAGGCTGGTGAACGCTATGCTGAAGCAACAAAAGCAGTCAGCGAGGCTCTATTTGGTTCATCATCTACTCCCAACTTTGGAGACAAGGCGGCGTCAGTGGCTAGCGATCAGTACTCACGCGCCCTTGCAGCAGCTTCTAGCGTCTTGTATGGCACGACACCAAGCCCAGGTGAACAATTCGCCAGCGCTGCTTCCGAGAAATACCAACAAGCTGTAGCAGCGTAAGGATAGTCTTACTTATTTTGCTTGTATTTAAAGCTGACCTTTGTTTTATTTAGTGCTTCGTCTGCTTTCTACGGTTCGCCTTCGCCTGCAACAAAGACGACAACCGGTCCCCTTGAGTCTATCTCATCCATTGCTTCGTCACGACTAGAGGAAGGCCTGAGTATCGCTTCTGCGCAATATGCAAGTCTCAAGTCATCAATAACCTCGTCCTCCGGCTTGGCGCAAGATCCTGTCCTCCTCGATGCAGAGCGGCGTTACCACGAGGCAGTTGGACTTGCACATGACCACTACACCGCTTTCATTAATTCAGCTTCTCAGGCCGTCTTTGGGGCTCCTACCCCAACTCCATCGTCGTCGCACCTCCAAGATTTCTTGGAAGAAGCGGAGTCTCAGTATAGCCAGGCTTCCTCCTTGGCATCTGCCAGCCTGGCGGCTGTTGTGGCATCTGTAACCTCAGCCATGGGTTCTACAACTGAAGACCCTGCACGTAGCATCGTTGATGACGCCTCTTCGAGATATAGCGCGGCGCTCTCAGCAGCATCTACGTCTCTTTCACTGGCGTCGGCCTCTGCCAGTTCCGCTCTTTACGGAACGCCCACAGGAACTCTGGAGGCGGCGGCCAGTAAGGCATCCGAAAATTGGGAAAGCCTTATTTCGCGGGCCAGTGAGCAGGTTTACGCCACTCCAGCCCCTTCTGTGCAGCAGCAGCCGGTTCCATATGAGGCTCTTGAGAACCTTATTTCCGAATTGATGGCCGGAAAAGAACCGGAGTTCACTGAGAGCATCATGAGCAAACTGCGCTTAGCGTACGAGACGCCTTATCCAGCGGCAGCTTTGTCATCAGTATCTAGCTATGCAAATGATGCCTACGCCTCTGCGTCTTCGCAAGTGAGCGAAGCTGTCTACGGCACTCAGCCGGGTTATGTGGAGGCCGCTAGATCCCAGGTCGATGAGGCATTTTCGTCTGCTCAAAGCGTTCTCAGCACGGCCGTCTATGGTACGTCTACGGGCCGGGCTGAGTCGGCCTTCAGCACCGCGAGTGGCACGTATGCATCAGTCACGTCTGCAGTCGCAGATAACGTCTCTGCTGCTAGTTCCGTGATAAATAGCGCCTATTCCGATCTACATTCACGGGCATCTTCTGTATTGTCTCCAGAGGAAAAGGGCGCTCTGGAAAGTGCCCAAGCTCGCCATTCGGACCTGGCCTCGGAGGCAGATGATTACGCTTCCGAAGTCGACTCTAGTGCTGCTTCCGTCGCTGATAATTACCAAAGTGGTGCCACCAGTGCGGCGAGCAAAATTAAGGATGAATTGTGAATAAGTCAGATAGTTGTGTCCATTTTTCAGTGACGGTACAGAAGGTAATGGCGGCTTTCTAGAGCCGGGAAAAAAAAAGGAATTGTCATGATATGGAGAAATCTTTACCCTTTACGCCCTCTATTTATCTCTGTTTTGAACTCACGATATCCACTGCGCGGTCCCTTCCTGATCTCCTACGTCTGCTATTTTGTGCCTGTTCATTTGTCTATTCTCTGTTTCTCATTACTCTTGACAGGCATTTGTTTTAGACACACAAGTCATGTACAGTAACATTTATTCACAAACAGTATTTACTAGGCTTTATTTCCACCTGGACCCCAAGTCCACTTGGATCTTTCCTAATCCTTTCAATAATAGTTGAAGCTCGCCTTTCTCGGGCAAGTGAGTGACTATAGCGGCTACCTGTTGAGCTCTCCCCGACTTGTGGTTCTTGTCATTATCCAGTCTTGTATGTACGTACAGTACAATGTGTACAATGTACAGTACAATCTATTATTGTACAGTACAAAAAGACGTGCAATGTAGTTCCAATTCCCTATCACGTCTAGCACCACTTATTTCAAGGCGTGGCCCAAAGAGTTTTTGGTGTCCTGCGTTTGCACTTTTTTTGATTACATAGGTATAGAAATAGCAGGTCCTTTTGCTCCTACACTAGTCGACTATAATAATATAAGGTGCCTTGGTCAGCTCCGAATGTCCATGTCCAATGGCAAGTGTAATGTCAAGTCGAAACACATTGTTCCGGTTTTGAAGCGCTGCAAGTTCTGACTATCTACCGATACTGTACACGCTGACCCCTCTTTTCTAACTTTTTCTGCCTCTTGCTTCCAGCTGCATCGCCTGCACCCCCCAATCCAGCCAGACCACTTCTCATACCTGCAAAAGTAGTCCACGCCAGCCAGACCGAGTACAGCGGGACGGCAATCCACAACCACCAGGCGCGGTCCCCAAAGAGGCATACAGCGCCCATGCAGCCCCAGGTCCAGTACAGGACATCCCACATGTACTCCGTCAGGCCGGACGCGCTGAGATCCTCGCCCGGGGAGCGAAGAGAACCATCGGAGTTGTAGCGGGGACGGCCAAGGCGCTCGAGATAGAACTCAATCGCAAGGGTTGGGAATGTAAATACGCAATACGGCAGGAGAGAGCGCGGGCGATTGAACAGCCAATGCAGTAGGAGGAATATCGTGTGCAGCGCGAGCGTAATCAGGTGCGTGCGAAGCAGAACAGAGGAGTTGCGTGAAGCAAGGGATTTGGCTGCTTTCTGGGTATACGGTCAGCCCACATGAAGGTGCCTTTTTTTTATTCTCCAAGGAGGAGGGGAAAGTATAGATGTTACCTGAGCCATTGTCAATGAATAATAATCCGAACTCGGTAGAAAGTAGTAGGAGATCGATTATTCAACGGTACCGGAAAAGATACCCTGCCAATCAGAAAGAGAAAAGACCAATTGCTACGAGCGCATCAACATAAGGAGGAGAGCAAAAAGAGAGCATGGCACTTCCCAATACGGAGAAACAAGCTCGTCTGTATATTTTCTCGACGTGGCTGCATCGGCCGGAAGCAGCTGTTGCGGAGAGCGTTAGGAGCTTTCTTTCCAATCGGATGGGAAAGGGAACGGGCGTTGCCCACCACAACGACAAAGCCTCGACCGGCCGCCACACGCCTCTCCACCAGCCACCGCATGCACCAGATCTCCAAAACATCACGAGTCGATCAACGCACCCTCAGCTGAACGTGTGTTATCGGCGACCCTCTGGCCCCTCCATTCACCCTCCTCAGCGCAAGAACACGTCTTCCGCGAGCTCGCTTCCCTCCCGTCCTCAACCGACATGCCATCTTTTGCTCTCTAACCGTGTTCTAGCGCCTGGGTTTGGGGTACCTCTGGGTGGACGCCTCGCTTTCTGCTCCACTCCAGATCCAGTCAGAAACGCAAGCGAATTGAATGTCAAGGGAAAGTGGGAAGAATTCTGGGTGAAGTGTCGGCCAGAGCAGACTTCAAACCTCCGAAATCCTCTGTCGGTAAACACACGGCCAACCCACGCATCGTCCCTTCCTTTCGAGCAGCGTTACCTCTTGAACGCGCAACCTGAACGCCGTATCCTCCAAGTTCGCCTGATGCTCCTCTCTTGCGGACTATCGCCTCGACTTTTCTTATCCTTCTCTTAGCTCTAAGTATTCCATTATTTCTGGACATATCGGCATCATCGGCAGTTATCGTCTAGCCTCCACGATGGCACCTTCTACCCCTCACATATCCAGCCAGCTGAGGCAGCTCATTTATTATCACCTCGATAATAACCTCGTCCGCAACGCGTTATTTATTGCAGGTCGCCTTCACGCGTACGAACCCCGATCATCCGAAGCTTCATATCTACTCGCGTTGTGCCACCTCCAGAACGGTCAGCCCAAGGCGGCTTGGGAATACAGCAGGAATTCTGGTTCTAGGGGAACTCATGTGGGCTGCTCATATGTCTACGCGCAGGCATGCTTGGACTTGGGCAAGTATATCGAAGGCATCACAGCTTTAGAAAGAAGCAGAAGTCTTTGGGCTTCGAAAAATAATTGGAGTAAGCAGCCCCAACACTGGTGTCCGAAAATGATTTCTTGACAGAAAACTAATTTGATTGTGAAAATAAGATAAACACAGCGAGACCCGCAGGCAACATCTACCTGATGCAGCAGCGGTTCTCTGCCTGCAGGGTAAGCTCTGGCAGGCCCACAAGGACCTCAACAAGGCTGTAGAATGCTACGTTGAGGCGCTGAAGCTGAACCCATTCATGTGGGATGCATTTCTCGGTCTCTGTGAGACTGGTGTGTCCACGAAGTACCCTCCATTCTCGTAATATAACTGACTGTTCTCAAGGGGTAAACGTCCGTGTGCCGAATATCTACAAGTTGACTCCCGAATTGGTGGCTATGCTCTCAGCATCACCGCAGGGAGAATCAGTCTCTCTATCTGAGAAAAGTGTCCCGACGAGTGGGCCGCTACAGACTCAATTAAATGTTAATCCTAATCTCGATCCATTCACATCGAATGCGTCGAAAGGCGAGCCGGGTACCTCGTACGGCAGTTCAGCGCTCTGGGAGAAACTGAACGGAAGCACCGTCAGTGTCGCATCCGTTGGAGGTATTCATGAAGGGTCAGAAACCCCAGTGACCCAAAACGACTCTGATGAGCTGCGTATGGCCAACGGGACGACGGATACCTGGGAACCTCCACTAGCTCCTGCGAGAAAGAACAGGACCGTACAGCAGGTGGAATACGTCGATCCACCCCCGAAGATGAAAGCTACGACCTTGAAGTCGAAGACCAGGTCTAAAGCAGAACTTGATGAGACGAATACCGTTCACGTTGAAAAAGAGCCTGCACCTGCTCCCGCTATTGGGGACCGCAAGCGAACGGTTTCGGGCCAGGTCGCTCACCCAGCACCACCACAGCCATCAGAGCCAGGCGCGCCTCAACGCCGAAGCGTGCGACTGTTCAATCAAATAAGGCCGACGACTAGCAAGCTCGCTACTACAGCCTTGGGGGCCAAGGAAGGGAGGGAGGTTAAAAAAGTAAGAGCTACGGGCACGAAGGGACGCACGACGACCACATCGACGGTTGGCCGTGTTGTGAGCGGGAACCGGAAACCTGTTACCGATGGACCCGACGCCGATGGCAAAGAGCATCGCCCGACGGCTGCATCCCAAAATGCGGCCGGTAATAACCATTCCAAGAGTGCGGCCGTGGACAAGTCGAAGGAGATCGAGGCTCTTTCCTGGTTACTGGACCTTTTTTCGAAGCTCGCCGCTGGACACTTCGCATTGAGTCGTTATAAGTGTCAGGATGCTATTCAGACCTTCAATTCACTCCCTCAGAGCCAACGGGAAACACCGTGGGTTCTTGCACAGATTGGACGAGCGTATTACGAACAAGCAATGTATTCGGAAGCTGAGAAGTACTTCATTAGAGTGAAGACTCTGGCTCCCTCGCGTGTGGAGGACATGGAAATTTACTCGACGGTGTTATGGCACCTAAAGAACGACGTGGAACTGGCATATCTGGCTCACGAGCTGATGGAGATTGATCGATTATCGCCTCAGGCCTGGTGTGCAGTAGGCAATTCGTTCTCTCATCAACGTGACCACGATCAAGCCTTGAAATGCTTCAAGCGTGCAACTCAGCTGGATCCCAAATTCGCGTACGCATTTACTCTTCAGGGCCACGAATATGTGGCCAATGAAGAATACGACAAAGCTTTGGATGCTTATCGACACGGCATCAGCGCCGATAGCCGGCATTACAATGCATGGTATGGACTTGGTACTGTGTATGAGAAGATGGGCAAACTCGAGTTTGCCGAGCAGCATTTCCGCAATGCAGCTAGTATCAACCCGACGAATGCGGTCTTGGTTTGCTGCATTGGTCTAGTGCTGGAAAAGATGAACAATCCCAAAGCCGCGTTGATTCAATACGGCCGTGCTGCTTCTCTGGCGCCGCAATCCGTGCTGGCGCGATTCAGAAAGGCGCGCGCCTTGATGAAATTACAAGAACTCAAGTTGGCTTTGGCTGAACTGAAGATCCTGAAAGATATCGCTCCCGATGAGGCTAATGTCCACTATCTTCTCGGGAAACTATACAAGATGCTGCACGACAAGGCCAACGCGATTAAGCATTTTACCACGGCCCTGAATCTTGATCCTAAAGTAAGTTGAAAGAATATTGATTAGCAGAAACCATTTACTGACAAACTCCTCTCCAGGCGGCACAATACATCAAGGACGCCATGGAATCTTTGGATGACGAAGAAGAAGACGAGGAAGATATGACGTGAACAGTCATAATCCTCTTGCATCCCCATAGATACAAATCTGTTTTTGTTCTTTTTTTTCTTGCAGCTAATTTCAGCGCGCATCAAGTGGGCTAATTTTGTTTTCTCTTTGCATGGGGAGGGTTTGGCGTTATTGGGCCTTTTTTTTTCAGAGCATACAAGCATTGGTGCGGAGTTGGGATTAATTGGTTAACGATGTGGTTTGCATTGGACACGAGACTTTCCGCATAAACATCTCGTGTTCCTGTTTTCTGTACATTAATTATTAGTCTTTTGCTGTTGTCGCTTCCCTCGTGGCTACTCTAGATGTACAGTACATGAGATGATGAAACCCTGGGATCTGGTTTTGCCCATGAATGCAAGGCTGTCATGCCCGCAAGCCCTTAGTGATGATTTCTGAGTATTCCGAGTTACATCGGACGTAGTATATCGTAATTACGTCGGGGAAAAAAAATGACGCCAGATAACGCGTGGTTTGTTGAGAACGATTCCAAGATTCTGGACCCTTGCAATTGCTATTCCTGTATGAACTAAACTGTATCTCCTGATCTCTCCGATAGTCCTCGTGATTATTACCCTGGTCACAAGCAGCGTGATAGATGACGAAACATTTCCCTGCCAGGCAGACCAGAAATCATCCGCATTAGCGCCAGCCGGGGTGCTCATTCCCCGCATGTTGCTAACGTGTGTCATCGCGTATTTCGGAGAAATCTTCCTCATCCAGGTGGGGACAACCGTCGACTGCAGTCAATTCCTGGATGACTTGACGTGGTGAAAGATAGAGATGTTCGCCCCTCGTGAAGGCGGTGAGCCACGAGATCAGTGGTTCAACCAACGGATTGTTGAGAAAAAAAAATAAGCAGCATACTAAGAGGCGGGCCGCACGGCCTACGTCAGTTGTCTCTCTTCGGCAGCGCCTCTGACTTCTCTTCCGCCCTCAACCTCCTTTCTTCACCCTGTCAGGCGAGCCCCCACACCGTCACATCATGGCCCTTGGGCTGTCGATTCGGTTCTGAGTTGCGCCTGTTACCTGATCGATCCAATTCCTCCACGCACCCTGACACTGATCTTTCCCGAGCGACACGGGGAATCGACCGCGGAGTTCGAACGTCTTCTCCCCCCTATGAGAAAGGTGGGATTCGTTGGTTCAGCTGTTGACAAGTCTAGACCAGCGTCCATTTACAACTGTTGGTTCTCTCTTGATTTCGCGGAGGTGTGAGACGACGGTTGGCAGCCATGTCGATCCTCTCGTACATCGTCACCGGCGTTACCTCCTACGTCGCTGTGACTGCCTCCCTCTTCTCACTGTCGGTCAAAGTTCCCCGTGCCGGATTCTTCGCTCGGTGTTTGGCGTCCTACGCTTCTCTGCTGGTCTGCGCTACCTATGGCGTCGTCGCCTCTATCGTTCTTCGCCTCGTTGGTTATGGACGGGTGTCTCAATGGGCCACCGCACGGAGCTTCAAGTGGGTGATGTGGTTTACCACCGGCGTGCGGTTTGATATCGTCGAGGGTCAGAAATACTTGTCGACCCGGCCTGCGGTGTTCATTGGGAACCATCAGACCGAACTTGATGTCCTGATGCTGGGCACCATCTTCCCTCCATACTGCAGTGTGACGGCGAAGAAATCGCTGAAATACGTCCCCTTCCTTGGCTGGTTTATGGCGCTGTCGGGAACCGTCTTCATCGATCGTGCGAACCGAAAGACGGCTGTGAAGGCCTTTGACGGTGCCGCCAAGGAGATGCGCACGTACAAACAGAGTGTCTTCATCTTCCCCGAGGGGACGCGGAGTTACACAACCAAACCGGAGCTGCTGCCCTTCAAGAAAGGCGCCTTCCACTTGGCGATCCAGGCGGGCGTGCCGATCGTACCGGTTGTCACGGAGAACTACTCGCATGTTCTGAATATCCGGGACCTTCGATTCAACTCTGGCACCATCAAAGTGAAGGGTGTGTCTAGTCCCCTGTTTGCGTCATGGAAGATACTTAGTACTGACACTAACCTGGACAGTTCTCCCTCCGATCGAGACGAAGAACCTGACCGCGGCAGACGTTGATCAGCTGACGCAGAGCACCCATGAGGCTATGCTAAAGGTCCTGGCTGAGATGTCAAACAAGGACGAGCAAGAGGTCGACGGCTCTCTCCGCGGTTCCTCAACGGCTGTCGAGATCTGAGTGACCGATAGGGTGGCCAATCTAGGTGAACGAACGTATAAACGACGCCATGATGATCATCAAACATAGAGACCATGCATAGAATGTGTTGACGGTGACATAGACAAATTTGGCAAGACCTTGAACAGATTTATATTTATGGGGAAGAATACTTTTCTTCGTGAAGGATGTGACCGAAGAAAGACCTTGTACCAGAAAGCTATTTTTGTCTTATCAAAGATTAGGGGAGCTCGGTTCGGGCTTCCTTTTGTCTTTCCATCCTGTCCTGCTCAGGACGGTGTCTGTATCTACGATAATTATTATCAAGATATTTATCAATGACTGTTGACAGCAAGAATCACTCGTCGAGGGTTGAAATGAGAATAGACTGTGGAATAGAAATAAATAGAAAGAAGAATCGAAGGAGCCATATCCACTGAACAGGACTTACAATGCAAGTGAGAATCAACTGCCATGATATCGAGTTCATCATGTGACTGCCGAAAAGGCAACAACTTTGGGGGCAATATCGGAAAATATATATCGTTCGGACAGTCGTTGAAATCCAGCATACTAGATTGCTAGATCCTTGTGTGCTCTTTTCCCCCATTTCATTTCCTGTGAACCGTTGCCTACTCGTTGAGTACATAAACAAATGTCTACTTTTTACTATGCCTGCTGTACATGTCTGCCTCCTGATCCATTGCCGGTTTCTCTTACACTTGTTGGTAAAGTGAAATTTGGGTTACTTTGGCTGTCGATTATCCGTGGAAAACCATTATTCTGCCTAGAAAATGACTAACCCTGTATTAGGAACTGTTGCGATCCAAGTGCGGAGAGGCGTTCTGATTCATCCAGAAAAGGCAGCATCGAAATGACCCGATCACGAGGCCGTGCTCCACACTTCGCACCCCGTTCATTGCACCGCATCCCCGGTCGAGAGATCATATGGAGAGACAGTCAGGCGTCACTCACCGTGCTTTCCAGGAGTGTACGGCGTACCCAGTGAAACGAAGAAATAGCATGCCAGCCCTAGCATCATCTGCCATTCAGCGAGTCACTCGTGTCCCTTCTGTGGCTGCCAGTCAGTCCAATCATACAATATCCCGATATGCTATTTGCCCTTCCTCCGATCTATCCATGGATGTGTTGCTGCAACGTCCTCGATGGTGTCCGCTATCCTACATTTGATGCACTCCCAGATGCCTAGATACGTTCTATTTGCATCGATTCCCTGGGATGCAACATCGATGCCTTGTCATCAGATCCGGTCATTCATCACATTGACCAAGGATGCTTGAGTCATTCCTCCAGAAACAGTTGCTCAATGTGACTTCCCAGGGGTACTTATTTGTATCGATCTTTCCCTCAAGGTGAGACAGGTGTCTAGCTTTGGAAGTCACTCCTCACTCTACCCTGCAAGACCAGTCAGGTCGGACCCTAGCCTTTTCCCTCTCTCTCAATAAATTTCCCGATTTACTATTGTGTGTGATCTTTCTCTTCTTGGCTTATCTAGGGCTCATCGATTTCTTGACTCTTGATTGGCTCAAGATGGCGACCTTGGAAGACGTGCTCCGTCTCCAAAAGACGTCCAATATCCTCACCAGCCCTCGGGAGGGCAGCAAAACGGAAAGCACCGTCAAGGCCACTACCAGCTCGACTTTGAACATTGCTCTGCAGAACCAGACCTCGTCAAGCACGGTGTATGCTTACATTACTGGCCTGGCTATCGACAACAACAACGCTCTTTTCCTCCTGCAATCCGATGGCCAGACTCCCTATTATCCGTCGTCGCCGTCTTCAACCCTGTCTCCTCTGGGAGCCAACTGTGCCATCCCCTTGGGAGCGCCCGGTAACACGGTGACCGTAACCATCCCGCACCTGGCCGGGGCCCGACTGTGGTTTTCGCGAGACAGCACGCTGACGTTCTATTTGAACCCTGGTCCGGCCCTCGTAGAGCCGTCGGTGTCGAACAAGTCGGATCCCAACTACAACGTTTACTGGGACTTTTGCGAGTTCACGTTCAACAGCGCGCAACTCTATGCCAACATTTCCTACGTCGACTTTGTGAGCCTTCCGATCTCGCTGACGCTGACCAACACATCGGGTGCCACTCAGCACGTCTCCGGTCTGCCATCGAACGGGCTCGATACGATCTGTTCTGCTCTGACGGCCCAGAATGCACAAGACAACGCGGGTTGGGATCAGTTGATTGTTACTCTGAATGGGGCCAATCTCCGGGCCCTGAGCCCGAACACGGGTATCATCATGAACAGCTCGCTGTTCTCGGGATATTATCAACCGTACGTGGACCAGGTCTGGTCGAAGTATGCCAGCGCAACCTTGAGCGTCGATACCCAGACATCTTCCGGCACTGTTACTGGAACGGTTTCCAACGGGGTTTTGAACTTCTCTGGGGTGACGACCTATTCTCAGCCTTCTACTGCGGACATCTTCAGCTGCAGTAGTGGCCCGTTTGCGCCGACGGGTAATGCAGAGATTGATGCCATCACGGCTCGCCTGGCAGCGGCGTTCAACAGGTCGACTCTGTTGATCGACAGCGATCAACCAGACGATGAGGTGGTGTCCACCTACTACCAGAACAGCATCACTAATCACTACGCGAGGATCTTGCACGCCACCTACCTTGACGGCCGCGGCTACGCATTCCCTTACGATGACGTGGGCCCTAGCAATGGTGTTGATCAATCAGGAAGTGTCTATGACCCAAACCCGCAGCTGCTTACCGTTGCTGTCGGTGGTGCGAATGCCACTGCATCGCCGGCAGCTCCCAAGAAAAACGTCACCAGTCGGAGGCGAGTGCGGGGTTTCATCAAACGGTTTGTTGCAAAACTGAAGACTGAGCTTGCAAGGCTGAAGTTGCGTAAATGATGAGTTTCGAGGATGTTGAGGATGGACTTGAGTGTTATTCCATGCCCTAAGCTTTATTCCTTCAATGTGCATAATTCAGAGTAGTGTAAATAATTGCACCATTGCTAATCTGTATATACATAAGCTCAAATCCATGTTAGTTTTTACTGTCCTTCAGGTCTGTTCTCTCCCTTTTTTCATATATAGGTCAATAGAATCAGCGACATATCATTAAATGAGTTATCATCATGTCGATGCTCGGCCATTCATCCATAACTTAAAACTGTACACTAAACTATATATATACAAGGTTCAGGATGCACCAGGACATGACCACATTCATGCATGTAAGTCACAAGCAATTCTATACTGTCGTCGCTCATGATTATATACATATGTACTGTGCTGTACATACATATGTGCACATGCCTGCATATACGACAGTAATTACTGAATCAAGTAACCAGTCGACCGACACCCAATCAATCCAAACAATGACAATGCCCTTTCGCGCAGGCAGTGATATCCCTCTCAATATCGATTTGTTCGAGATCTTTCCACGGGTCAGAATCATCATTACCGTCATCGGGCACAGTATTATTATTATTACTGGCATGATGATGACCCCTCGCTCCGAATCTACCCCCCCGCGCGGCTGTCGCGACGAGATAGTCCGTTTCGAACGCGGCGAGCTCGATGCGCACGTCATCGACTCTCTTCCCGTACAGCCAGGTTTGTACGCCTTTGTAGGGCTTACTCCAGGGAGAAGAAGAGGATGTCGAACTGACGGGCTCCGGCGCAACCACGTTCGTAAACTCTAGCTCACGCAGCCACGGCGCGAGCAGCGCTTCGCCCGTCATCTTGATGTAGGCTTCTTTGAGAGCCCAGTAGGCGTAGAAGAGGCGCACGCGCGATTTTATCGCCTCCTGGAGTTTCTCTGGGCTGCTGCGGCTGTCCAGGGGAATTTGCTTGATTGTGCTGAGTTCCCGTGGGGAAAAGATCTCGGCGAAGATGTCGACAAACTCGGCTAGGGCCTTTTCCGTCGTGATGGAATCTCGTCGCCGTCGAGAGGGCTCGTTCACGCAGGTGATGTCGATTCCGACGTTGGGGGATGGACGGGATAGGGGCGGCTGATGGCTGGGGGTTGGTGAAGACGGCTTGGGGTAGTGCTGGTGGTGGTGGTGTTGTTACAGATGATGATATCGATGGACGGTCAAGAGTCTCTGCTGCAGCTGCAGCAGCTGCACCAGGGCTCCGGGACGCTGCTGACGAAGATGAAGGGATAATGCACCCCGCGAGCGCGACAAACGACGCCTGGTGACTGACATTGAACTCGACATCCGGAACCTCACTCCCGTCCGCTCGCGTGCGACACGACGGGATAAAGCACGGCCGCTGATGCGGCTTCGGCGTCCGGCTGATTGTGATCTCGCTCCACGGGATGCGACATGTGCGGTGGATGAAGAGGTATTTCAGCAGATACGAGGCCAGCGACATGTGTCGGTCCTCCAGACGGATGAATTTCTGCACTGTCTGCTGGTCGTCCGGCTGCAGGGTCTCCAGCAGTGGCAGCGAGGAGGTTGTGGCAGTCAAGTGTCGCGTGTCAATGTACCATCTTGTGAGAGATTTCTCTCGAGGTGCCATCTTGGAAATGTGTCCTTTTTTTTGCTCTAATCAATGAATATGCAAGGGAATTGGGTATCAAGATAGGAATTCAAGGCCCAGTTCTTATCGACTGGAGTAGTAGATCTTCTGTAGGAGTCGAACAAACACCGTTCACAGCAAGTCTCATAACCACGCATTCTAGAACCATCAACATTCATATACACGACAGAACATAAAACAAAAGAGCTACAGCTCAACATCGACGCTGAAAAGAACGAGATGCTGTACTACAGTCAGCCCTCCTCGACGACAGCCCCCACGGATTTGCATTGTTTGCTTGTGCCTCCGGATCTTCGTTGATCCAGGCGGTGGCAGAATCCGAGGCCAAAAAGGCGGCGAAGGCGGGGAATGGGATGACTCAGGCCGCAGAACGGACTGTACGACTGCATTACGATCCATTGAAGAGAACAGGCAATGAGCAAGGTCACCGTCGGCGTCCTCGCCTTGCAAGGCGCCTTCTACGAACACATCCAGCTCCTCAAACAGGCATCGCAGCTCCTGACCCAGCCCCAGGACATCCCCCCTTCGCAATGGGAGTTTATCGAGGTCCGCACCCCGGCGGAGCTCGACCGCTGTGATGCGCTGATCCTGCCTGGAGGCGAGAGTACCACCATCTCCTTGGTTGCAGCCCGCTCCAATCTGCTCGAACCTCTGAGAGACTTTGTAAAGTAAGTATACAGCGTCCCCTTTTCCATCTGTCTCACGTGGCAATTCCTGGCTTTTTTGCTCACGCTGCTTCGAGCGCAGGCTTCATCGCAAACCAACTTGGGGCACCTGCGCTGGGCTGATTCTCCTCGCCGAATCCGCAAATCGCACAAAGCAAGGAGGCCAGGAGCTCATCGGTGGGCTCGATGTCCGGGTGAATCGGAACCACTTCGGCCGCCAGACGGAAAGTTTCCAGGCGCCGTTGAAGCTGCCTTTCCTTGCGGGCTCAGAACCGTCCGAGCCTTTCAATGGAGTGTTTATCCGGGCGCCGGTGGTCGAGAAGATTCTGCCGAGTCGAGAAGGGATCCAGGTCGAGGAGAACCAGCGTGAGGAGACCGTGGTAGCGCCGTCGCGGCAGGCCTTGGACCAGGTCGCACGGGAAGCGATGGAAAACCATGTGGAAGTGCTTGCCAAGTTGCCCGGCAGAGCTGCCAGGTTGGCAGAAACCACTGGGGTCGACATCGATGCCGAGAAGGACTCGGGAGATATTGTTGCTGTCAAACAGGGCAATGTCTTCGGAACCAGCTTCCACCCGGAATTGACCGACGATCCGAGAATCCACTTGTGGTGGCTGCGCCAGGTACAGGACGCAGTGAAAAAGAGACGAGATGCTAACAGCTTGCCATTAAGGTGAACGGGATAGAAGAACCGAAAATCGTTTGTATTGGGTATCAGATATAGATTTTTTTTTCTTCACCCTGTAAAATAGAGAAACCCCCGTGGAACGCCAGTTGTACAGTACAACATAATAAACCAATTCCCTCCTCCTTCTCTACCTACCTTTTCCGTACTCTTCTTCCTCTCTTCTGCGCTGTTCCATGACAGACCGACCATAGCCTCCTCGTCCCGGGTCGTATTCATCCCGATACTCGTCGCGGACTTGGCCGCCAGACTTTCCTCGCCTGCGGACCATAGTTAGCTGGACATCATTTCCATGGCTCGAAAATATCTCACGCACCCGTATTGTCGCCCCTCTTGGAAGCCTGGGTCGAGATCTGTCCGGATGATTCTTTCATCCAGCTTTGTCCCCCCGATGTATTTCAGACAGTCTAGAGCATCCTGATGAGTGTAGTATTCCACAAAGCAGAATCCGCAAGGCGTCTTAGCGTAGCGATCGAGTCCCATTACCAGGCGTTTGATTTCGCCGCATCTGAACGTATGATCAGTCTTGGCGATCAATGACATGAGAGAGAGGGAGAAACCCTACTTGGCAAATAGCTCGTGGATCTGTTCCTCTGTTGTGTAAAAGGAGCTACCATCGCGGTCAGCAGTCTATCGATCCAAAGACGGGAGGTCCCCGACATACAGATTTCCCACGTAAAGAGTCGTGGCATTTTGCAGCAAAACTAGGGGGTCTTCAATCTTGTCGCCATCTTGATCTGAGTTTGGGTTGAGCCTGCGCCGTTTGTTCTGTAACATGTTAGGACGCTGTCTCTAAATGTTGCGCTTGAAGGGTGTCCAGCCAACGAACCTTGCCGAGATAGTACGCGCTCGGCTTGTCGAGCCGTTCAACTGTGTTCTGAGTCTTCTGCATGTCACCTGTCGAGGGATTGGCAACCGATGGTGAAGGGTGAGGCCGGGCAGGTCATTGAAGAACGAGTCCGGGTAGCTGGACTCCTGGCTTGGCGCGCAAGTCGCGTGGAGCGTCATCCTCCATTTCCGCTCCGCAGGTCGCCCAAAATTCCAGGCGGGCTCAACTCGCACCCACTTACCAGAGCGTCTCTTGCTCTGGTGACAGCTCAAGCAAATCTCTGTTTGTTATGAGAATGACTGCATAGGGCAGAGCGGTCCTTCTGTTTTCCAGCTTTACCAGACTGTTCATTTCCTATCTGCTCCGTCGCAAACATGCCCAAGGTCATCAGCCACACGCCGCCCTGGCTATGCAGACCCTCGCCAGCCGCCTCTTTCTTCACCGGAAAAACCTCCGCAGGTGCTGCTGCCCACTCACAGAATGGGGACGAAAAGAAGGAGAGCTATGAAGGCCCGCAAAGGACCCTGGCGCGCCGAGGAACCGAAGTCTTCGCGGTGGTCGACAACCAGATCCGGTGGTCAAACTTGGCGACGTTGAAAGATGAATGGCAGACGCGTCTGAAGTCGAAAGGGAAGCCTTCAACGAAGGAAAGTGTCGAAGCGCGAGAACACTACAGAGTAAGAATTACAACTGCGCATTTTCACTATCGCGATATAACTGACAGCACCAGGTCCTGACCGTCCCAGTCTATGGCCAGATTAGACAGTTGGTCGTCTCCCCTAACGGCGCGTTTATGGCGATTGTTACGGCGCATACGGTTCATATCGCAGTTTTGCCGGATTCATCGCACCTCTCAGCCAACGATTCCTCTCCGATCCGCTTGAAGACCTACCAGCTTGGCCCGACAACTCACGTCATTCCCGAGTCTCCCGTGGTGTCGGCGCTATGGCATCCGCTGGGTGTACATACGAATCTGGGAGCTTGCATCGTGACTGTCACCGCCGATGCCGCTGTTCGTGTGTGGGAGTTGGATCGGAATAATCACTGGTCATTTGATCAACCAACCCTGGCAATCGATCTGAAAAAGCTGGTTGACGGAACATCCTCGGACGAGGATTTTTCGCCGTTAGGATTTGGGAAAAACAAAGGGTTCTCTGCGGATTCCTTCGATATGGAGGTCGCTTCGGCATGCTTCGGAGGTACCGGTCAGGAGGGTGAAGATGCATGGGCACCGATGACTCTTTGGGTCGCGATGAGACCGGGAGATATATATGCTCTGTGCCCTCTGTTACCTTCCAAATGGCAGGCTCCTCCGACTACGATACCGTCCCTCTCCGCTGCCATCGTTCCCAAACTGGCTGCCGTTGAGGAAGACCCACTTGAATCGGAGGACGAATTGATAGCCTGTCGACAACAGTACGAGTGGCTCAAGGAGATCGACAGCCAAGATCCTCTCGGGGTCTCAGCGGATTCAGGTCCTTTATCCGACATGGAGATTCTAACCCGTCCTACGAATCCCAGCGCCATCCCCAGACTACAAGGCCCGTTTCAATTCGATGCCGGCGAACAAATTGATGATCTGGATGTGACAGATTTGCTCGTTATTCCGGCCAAACTCGACATGGATGATCTCATGACGGGTGAGGACGATGAGGGCTCGCTGGAGGAAAACATGCAAGAGGGTCTGTCGGTCACAGTCATCTGTCTCTCCACCACAAGTGGACGGGTGCACATCTGCCTCGAACTTGAAGGAGTTGAGGGCCAGTGGCTGCCAAAAGCCAAGAAGAACACTTTTAGGACCCCCCTCTCGGAACCAGCCGATTT